ATATATATATATATATATATATATTTCTTTTTTTAGATATTTTTATACAGAAGTTTATCTAAATATGATTAAATTTAAAAAAATATATATAATAAAGGTGAATATATGGTGCTATATTTTGGCTTTCTTCTAAATTTTAATTCCTTTGATGCGTGTCTTCCATATTTTAATTTGAAGCGCAGGCTCAATGCACTTTTATGACTAAATCTTCCTTTTAAAGAATAGATCAATTCACTTTACCTTCAAGTTTAATTTTTTCTAAATAACAAATCACATTCCATCTTATACAACAAACACCCAACTTTCTATTATTAATCAAATTAGCAAAAGGATTATTATTGTTAGCCTTTCATCATTATGTCCCTTTGAATCATGAGATTTGTGCACAAATCCTGATCCACAATGTATATGGACCTGTAGATCGTTGAGTGGGATGTGATAATTGAAGTCTTCAAAATCAAAAGCCCTCAAATTAGAAGCAACCACTACAATGTATCCAAGAAAAAAAATAAACAAGCAACTACAAAAATGGGTTATGACCAGAATTGGGAGGATATGATCCATTCACCTTTAGCTTACTATTTGATGATATAAGCATTGCGATATTTGATGTTATTTTAATTTGTATTACTCAAAATATATAAGCACCTGAAAGTGCTTATCTCGTTTAAAATTTAAAATAAAGAGTATATTATTTATAATTTATTAAGTTCAATGAATTATTAAAATCTAACTAATATACATGTCATAACAACTAAGGTCAAGAATTACAATTTTGATAAGTTGTGGGGTTCACGTAAGAGGCTGAAGCTAATATAATATTTTGATAAGACTGTTTTTGTGGGTAGTAGCCCTAGATCATCTCTAGATATGTAGATTTAATACTTTGATCAAATTCATAAATTTAAATATTACAAGCATAATTATATTATAATGTTTTCAAGGTAAAAAACTGAAACTAAAGATGTGGACCAATATGTATATATATTGGTATATATACTCTAAAATCAATTATGTATATAAACAGTTATATTAACATATTATAAAAAAAAACTAAATTAAGATAAAGAATAATATACTATCAGAGCCCAAAAATATATGAAATCGATATATATATATTTTTTTTAACACAAAGCTACCCCCAATGAACTCTATGGAAAAGTGGTTTATGGGATCAACAATTTGGCCACAGGAATTTCAATCTATTAATCTAACAACATCATTATTGCTTGTCTAAAGATGTCATGCTAAATTGTTTCTAATTGACTTGTATTAGACACAGGAAACACTGAATGGAGTCCTAATTAAGAAAGCTCCAACAAACTCAATCTCGGACAAATTCAAATTTGCCCTAGCAAGTTTAATGTTTAATTATAGCATTCAACCCACAAGGCATTTGTTTTTCCTTAATAAACATGTCATAAGAGAAAAAGAAACTGCGGCTGTATGATGTTTTATAACGGCTGAGAAAAATGATGAAATGGACAATGATGGTGACCATTTTCATATTGAGAAACTTTAAACTTTTCAATGAACAAAGAGGAAAATGTCAATAGTTTCATTGTCATTGCTGATGATGATGATGGAGATCAATGCACACATATATATAAATACTGTGCAAACGGATAAGTATGTGGTTATTAACTTATGATAATACTAATTAAGTATATGCTTATAAAATATATTATCTTTAATTTGTTCACTAATTTCCCTTTCTTTGACTCAACAATATCTATTCATCGAGTGCTTCATATAAAAACCACTAACAAAAACTTTGGCAAAAACAGTATGCGATATTACGATGGCAAGTTTTACCGTTATGAGTGAATAAAAATATAAAAATACATGTGCTACAATTATTGTGGCTTGGATTAGGACTTGTTTTGAATTTTGTACAGATTATGTTTTGACGATGGCATATAGTAAAGAGTTGTTAACTAAGAAAGTTGAAAACTGGCAACTGCTTCATATATTATTTGGTGACAAGAAAAATCTGATAGCATGAGAATTAACAAGTACTTCATTTTCGTTGTTGTTGTTGATAGTTAAGAATATGCAAGAACAATTAATATATGCATTAAATATGTAATCATTTAACATGAAAATTAGCTATCAGATACTTGATGTGAAATATGATAGTGTATGTATTTTATTCTATCAAAAAATAAACTATAATGTCGAACATATATGATCTAATTAAGATGTTTTTCTTAGATCTTTTTCTTCTATTTGACTAATGCTGATTAATTATCTCTGCCGGATCCTTCCAAAATGTAAATTTTAAATCCCACACTTCAACTTGATTTTGAATGCATAACTAAAACAAAGTATAGTAAACTTGAATGAAAAAGACTATATTTGATTAGATAATAAAATCTCTGCTATAGTAAGCACGCAATTATTTCAAATTTTAGTTCTAAAGAAAAAAAAATGACATAACATTAACATGTGTTAACTTTCAAGTGCATCATACCAATCGGGACAAACATATAATTAGAATATGTTGGGATGATTTTTCCATAAATATTTTTAGAAGAATCAAAAATGAAATATATTTTTCTATAAATTAAAGTTAACTTTTTCATATATCAAAAATAATTAGTTTTTATAGAACTCCAAGCGTGTGGTTCAGCGGTAGGAGTTAAT